ATGAAACAAAAGAATGCTTTAGAAAAGGAGCAACCAGATAACAAGTTTCCAAAGTAAATGCATGATACAGAAATTTTAAAGGTCAGAAGTTTCATTAAGGAAATCTGTTAGAAAGCATAGAATATTTTTGAGAAGGGAAATAGAGGAGATAAAATAATTAGACAATCTAACTAGGAGGTGCACTATGTAAGACTTGCAAAAAATGAAAATAGAAAACATGTGGATGGACTATATGGACATGAACTTTCAGAATGAAAGGACTCGTTGATACCCAGTGTGTGAGAGATATACACGATCTCAATGCATATTGTTGTAAAAGTTTAAAAACTAAAAAGAAAATCCTAAAAATTTTCAGAGGGAAAAGAAAGTGACATTTTGAAAACTGAGAATCACATTTTTTCCAACTTTTTAATTTTAACTCCAGAGGTAGCAAAAGAATCACTCTTCTGAATATCTCCAAAATTTGAAAGAATGTTATTTTAAATTGGAATTCTATCCAGTCAAAATGTCACTTAAGTAGGTGGGCTGAATAAACACATTTTTTAAACATGTGAGCACACACACACACATACATACATGCACGCACACACGAGCACAGATAGTGATGACAGCCTGTGCTCTGCCAACACCGTGGAGTTAAGCAGGAAAGAGCAGAGCACGAGACCCAGGAAGTAACAAGGATTTAAGACAGGACATGAGTGAGGGAAGCCCAGAACCACAACAACCCAACAGACCCAGGGAACAAGCCTTGTGTTATCCATAAATGTACTGTAAATGACAGCACTTTAGCAGAGAGTATGATTTTGTGTATAGTTTTAATCTATACCTTAGTTATGCTTAGTTAACTTTTGAAGAAACCTTCTAAATGAAGACTCACTCCATGAATGTTTTAATGCCTGTTGCAAATAAACGCCTTTTTATAAGATACAATTTAGCTGCTTTTAATTTAATTAAACATAACACCTCTGTATAGGTTGTAAGAGAAGATTCCTATAGCCCTCATTAACTGTGAGAGAACTAAAATGTGCCATAAAAACCTAACACTGTATCATCTGCCAAATTTGATTTGCAACAGTAAGCAAACTAGATTGGAGGAGAAGATATGGAATTCCAGGGGAAATGTCTTCCAGGAGAAAAAAGTGAACCTATTATGTCTGATTTTATCTATTAACGCTTTTATAATGTTCTAAGTGCTTTAAAAATACTAACTTATTTAATCTTCACAATGACCCTATGAGATGGCTATTATTGCTATTATTATCACTATCATTGATATTATCCTTAAGTTATAGATGAGGAGATTAAGGCAAAGATAAATAATTGTTCCGGTCTCACAGCTACTAAATGGCAAAGACTTATTCAAACCCAAGAAGGGCTGGCTTTTAGCCAGCACACTATGTTTCCCCTACTCGCTGGGTGCCAAAAAGTTTCCAAAATGGTTTTACAATGCTATTTGAGATTTTGGAAAATATTAGTGAAATATTTGTATATGTATATAGAAAATACTATATATAATTGTATATATACATATGTATATATATAGCAAATAAATGTGGTACAATAAAGAAATGAAAATAATTTTCCACTATTTTAGAAGTAAACAATATTTATATTGTATAATAATGCATGCAATGAATATTTCATCAAAATTTGTGATATTCATTCATTAGGAATTATTGAAGGGAATCGTGGCTGCAGGTGGGATAAGGGGTGGGACTAAGCAAGTGTGCTAAATCCCAATATAATGACAAAATGATGTTTAAAATCTGTAAGTCAAAGAAAAATAATATGAGCAAGAATATTAAGGTAAATACTAAAATAAATCCATAATAGAGTGGGACTAATGACCTCTTGGGAGTGAGACTTACACGGAAGTGGGTGGTGTGGGGATTGCTATCTTTGTCATCAGTTTTATAGTTTTGTCCTTTTAAATGTATCATTACTATATTTTAAATGTATTATTTTGACAAAATATTTAAACAACATAGGTACATTAATATGTGTGGGTCAGCTATATATATTAGCGGATTTCTTTTATATCTCTAAATTATTTGACACAGTTTAGTCAAACAAGGCTAAAACTGATGTATGAAGAGAAAATGTTCTCTCTTAGCAAAAGTCCAAGTAATTATACACAAACAAAGCTGCTGGGAGCACCTAAGGAGTCCAACCATTGCTAAAATAGATGTGTTGGGCACACATTCCAACAAATTTAAAATCATACTAGAGTTTTATGTCTTTTACACTTTCATGCATTGCCTTCTCTTTTAAAATGTGAACCGTCTTCAGCAATGTAACAAGATGAATTCCTCAGCCTTAAGACAATTTAGCAAAGCATCCTTCTTATTAATAGGAAGAAGTAGGAGCAAGATAAGCAAAGAGAAAACAGTTTAAAACAATAGCAATAACAACACAACTTAACAACTTAACCCCATCCCAAGTTTCTAGAAGGACTTTTCTCCAGTAGGCAAAGTGCTATCACATTCTCTGCTGAAAGAAATTTCTGGGCCACATATTTCTGATATGGAGAGGCTTTGAAGAGGTGGTATGTAAGTACCTCTTGAGTTTTAACTTTTTTCACTGTGAAATTTTCCTACACTTCTCCAAATATGTTCACCTTCATTATCTCATTTGATTTTCAAACAACCCTTCCTAGTAGTCAGGGCAGGTGCATTATGGGTAGAATCAGGCTCACGATGCTTATAAATAGCCTGTGCAAGCTCAGGCAACTAGTAAGTTGCCTGAAGAAAACTAACTCACATGTTTGCTTGTTTGTTTTACCATATTTCTAACACTCTCTGCTATGTTTCTGTTTGCACAGTTATGATGATCAAAAAACTCATGGCTATTAAACTGATATTTATGCCTTATGTATTTATTTGTTCATTTACTCATTCAGTATATATTTATTGACCACCTACTGTGTCCAAGGTTCCAGTGACTTCTAAAATATCAATCTGTCATTGGAGAGATAATGCCAAAGCTACATTTAGGCCTCCTTCCTCTCTCTTAGCAGAGTCAGATAAGACTGGGCAGAGTCTCTCATTAATTCTTAAAAGCGCATCTCAGGCATTCTCACCATCATCTTAATTTAATTTATTGAACTTCCACTAAAGCAGTTCCAATGAAGAGTTTAAGTCTCCATTCTTTGGGAATCAGTAGTCAAAGGGAAGTAGATTAGATTGTTACAGGAAAACTCAAGAAATAGAGAATATACTAACAGAGGAAACACCCTGGTTGTAGTCTGGAAACAATGATATCAAAGCTGGCGAGCATTGTAGATGGTCATTTTTATTTATATCATGTCTCCCAGGATCCTTAAAATATGATTGCTATCATATGCTCATAAAATGAGAAAGAAGAGTTAAGAATTATTTCCAGATTTCTGGATTAAAAGACTGAATAAGATAATAGCATCAATCAAAAATATAGAGGGCCGGCCGAGTGGCGCGATGGTTAAGAACTCGCTTGGGATGCCAGAGGGCCCCGGTTCGGATCCCACATATGAGGGCCAGTGACA